ACCTAAATACAGAGTAGTCTCGAAGTTAAACGATTTGACGGGCAGCTGTTAAGTACATTGTGTTGTTTTTCTTTTGTTTATTTAACAGACAGCCAAGTGGGGTCTGACAGGAGAAATGTTTTAGTTTGATAACTAAATATATTATGCCACATTTTTATTTCCCATATATAGAGATTTGAGCCTGCGGACAGCGAGCACGGGTAACTCGCCGTCCAATCAGAACCAAGCCTGAGCGTATGGCGCGTCGCGTTTCGCGCGCGCCTCAAGGAGCCATTAGACCATTACAGATGGGGCCCAACAGGGCTGATGCCGACACGGACACGGCGTAACGAATTGCCGGGGCTCCGGTTCAAACTGCCTTGCCGATTGCCACATATCGTGCACATTTAAAAACCCAGTAATACTTTGCCTGACCCGGGAATCGAAACCGAGAACCCTTGTCCGGCAGTCACACTTGCGATCACTCGGCCAACGAGCCTCACGTGTACATATGTATCTCGTATGTTATGTTATGAAATCTCTGTTAAACTATTTGTTATGCATACATAAATAGAAGGGACGTTATATAAACTAAGTTAATAGGTCTAAAACAACGCGCTTAAGTATTTATAAGACTGAACTACATATACTATATAAGAGGGCTCCGATTTATTAGTTTTGTCACGAAACTCTTACAGGCGATACTATCAGTGTCGAAATCTGAACAAATTACACTGCATTGCAGTGTTGGGTTCACTTAATTGTTTTTTTATAAGTTACATACATAACAACATAACATCACGCCTTTTACCCCTGAAAGGGTAGGCAGAGGTGCACACAGAAGTAACGTCCACTTTTCACTATTTATGTTATGAGTCCCATGTAATAGGGGTAAGCCTATTGCCATATACCGAGCACATTTTCATATTGCCATATACCGGGCACGATTCCAGACTCCGTGCTACTAAAGAGTTTTTTTGATCCCGGCAATCGTACTTGCGACCACTCGGCCAACGACGCAGAGTGAGGCTCATATCTGCTTTTAAAATACGTCTTCATTTTATCATCATACAGTTTACGATAGCTTCGACTTCTAGTAGTTCATATTGGCAATTAACCAAGTACTAACTGATGTTTGCTTTAGTTTAACGCTAAATCTACACGTGTAGGTACGTCACAGGAATAGCTATTATTTTAGAGATAACTGCACTAGGGACTGTGTAAACAACATTGTTGGTTTACGTTCCTTCTGACTTTAATGACTTGCATATTATACATTTTGGATACAATTGCTTTGCTTCAATTGGAATTATTTGTTGCATCATCATGTTAATTTGGGTATAAAGATTGGGTTATAAAATGACATATATGTATAACCTTACACCTGTCTCCAACGAGGGTAGGCAGAGATCATGGAATGCCAATTACTACGATTCTTACGTACTTACTCTTTTTCTTCCTCAACAGTCATCAGTCTTTTCATACATGCTCGTCGTTTAAGGGTACTTATATATTGGCTCTTCTGTAATATATTGCCAATCTAGTCAGATATAATTAAGTCCGTCTGGGGCAAAACTAAATTTTTTTACGGCATAAGCCACTAAACGAGCAGACGGATCACCTGATGGTAAGCAATCGGCGTCGCCCATGGACACCTGGAACACCAGAGGCGTTACAAGTGCGTTACCGGCTTTTTGGGGATTAGGAGTTTGAGGATCGTTGGAGATTCAGGGATTGGGGAGATTGGGGAAGGGGAGAGTAATTGGGGCTCTGGTAACCTCACTCACACGACGAAACCCAACGCAAGCGTTGCTTCACGTCGGTTTTCTGTGAGGCCGTGGTATCACTCCGGTCGAGCCGGCCCATTCGTGACGAAGCATGACTCTCCCACACTTAAAATAATATTACAGACAGAATTGTATAACGAACACCGCTTTGCTTACAAGTAAAAAATATAAAAAGCATTATAATATCATTAAATCCATTCTAAGGTTAATATCCTTTTGTTATCTCACATCTTTACGTCCATAGTTTTATGTGATATCTAAACGTCGTCCACATGAACGAATCTGCTTATCATCAAACCAGTTTTATGTTTAAGTTTTAGCTCTTGGTTTCATACCCATATTCCAATCCTAAGTATCATGGCGATATTAGATAGCATAACTCAAAGCCGTATTATCCCTTTTTTGAACCCAGGGAAATTCTCATGGAGTTTTCTCGCCGGGAGGAGGACGAAAGGGACTGTCAGACTGTTTTTGACTAAAACCCACTCCAGTGTGGTGTCCCGTCTTACAAGTACGAGGGTGCGAGAAAATTCTTTCTCAGGCCTTTCAGCTTTTCCTTGCCAGGCCCCACATCAAGATTCATAGAGGAGAGAGGTGTTGGTCTCCTCCGGGCAACGTCTCGCGGCCCACCGTCTCGACTCCTTTAAAACAGGGTGATGGAGACTTCCCCAAGTCTCCCGTCTCTGGACCCATTTAGTGTAGTACTGCGGGAAGGTAGAGAAATTTCCGTTTAGAACCATGGCACCAACTTCTAACCTATCAGTGGGTGCAAAGCCGTATCATCCCTAAGGCTGTAGGTAAGTGCCTATCACGCCAGGTTACAGGGGGGCTCAGGTCGTGACTATTTTATTATTGAGGCAAATTCAGGAAGCGCCTAAAGCACCAGGTAGCTCATCTGTCCATAGAAAGATGACGGCGCCAAAACAAATTACAGGCGCCTACAAGGTTGCCTTGAGCATTCTATAAGTAGATTGAATCCGCCTCTGGCATAACCTTTGTCAAGAATTGGGTTATCAAATGCAAAATGTATTCTAAAATATGTTTATTCCGGACTATCAACTTTAAGTGGGCTCATTGGCTGTTTCATCATCGTATAATGTGATGGCAGAACCTTGTATTAAGTATATTGCACGTGTTAAGTTGAACTAAAAAGAAATGGAAATAGTAATTGCATACGTTTTTCTTGTTCATGCATTTTAAAAGAAATATGGGAATGATGTGTTTGTATTTAAGTTGTAGTGTAAATCTTAATATACAGTGCAAGTACAATGCATTATTTTATCCACTTACGTCCGAAATAATAAAGTATCTTAATCTTAGTAGGTTGTCGACATCAGTTATATGGGTTTTCCGTCTAAAATGTTTCGTAATTCACAGATTTTGGATTGGTTACCAATTTCGATCATTAAACTAATGTAAAAAGATCTCTATGGATTGAAGTTTATAAAATATGGTCACATTTTAATAATGAGTTTTAGTTTTGCAAACATAATGCAGTGGAGAAATTTTTGTAAGTCACTTACGAGAAAACTTTTAAACCATAATATCTACGCCATGATGATATATCAGTGACAACGAAATAGTTTATGAGGTCAACGCTCTTTTATATAAATTCAAAATCTACTAGAATACCGTTAAAGTTTTGCGATCTAATGAATACCGTTTAGTACGACGGCACGTTCAGCCAAAAAGCCCCCTGAACTTGTCTCGACAAGTTGGATGGCTTCATCGCTTTATTACACGACTACATAGCTTCAATAGAGACAGGAACGGAGCTACGACCTGACGCAGACTTAACTGGAAGGTGCTAGATTAGAAGTTATGACGTTCGGATAAAGTGCTTCATTTTAGAGATGATAGCTTGAGAGTTCACTATACAGTTTAAATTACAATAGGGAGAGAGATTTAACTAACATAACATAACATAACACAACATCACGCCTTTTATCCCCGAAGGGGTAGGCAGAGGTGCACATTATGCCACTGTACAATGTAACACCCACTTTTCACTATTTATGTTATGAGTCCCATGTAATAGGGGGTGAGCCTATCGCTTGACATTTAACTACTGTTTAACTATTACGTATAATAAAATAAAAAATACACGTAAATTGTTTTTTTTTATGGAGGCAAACGGGCAGACGGTGATCCGTCTGCCCGTTTGCCATCAGGTGATCCTGATGGTAAGCGATCAAAGCCGCCCATGGACAACCGCAACACCAGAGGAGTCATAGGTGCGTTGCCGGCATTTTAATCCATATAAAAAAATGTCATGTTTAAATTTCATTATCAGTACAAGGCTTGTATAAAAACAATAAAAGAATTCGACACATTCACAGCAATCATCGAGCGAAGCTGAGGCGGGCAACTAGATGTGAATACAATACAATGTTTCTATCAGAGACGTCCAATCAGATCTAGTTCGTCGATATCGAGATCTACATTTCTATTCAATGTCTGTTCCAGTTGCATGCTAGAATCTTAGAATCTATTTCCACTGACAACGCGACCCCTTTTGGAAATGGTAACGCGTAGATGCTTTCTAAAACATTCTTTGAGTATAAGTTCAGATTTTGTGTTTAAAGAATCATGTGCTTGAATTTATCTTTAAGTTTTTGTGGTGTCTTAGTTAGATTTTTGAATGTTTGTTTAGTATAATAGGAATGATATTCTTATGTAGATTTATGAAATTAAATAATTATGAATTTTATTAGTTTGACCTAATATTATAATTATTATGGTCACGTAATCATAGTCCAGTTACATAACATAACATAACATCACGCCTTTTATCCCCGAAGGGGTAGGCAGAGGTGCACATTATGGCACTAAATGCCACTGTAGAATGTAACACCCACTTTTCACTATTTATGTTATAAGTCCCATGTAATAGGGGGTGAGCCTATTGCCATATACCGGGCATATTTCCAGACTCCGTGCTACTACTGAGATTTTTAAAAACCCAGTAATAATCATAATAATAGTCCAGTTACATTTTAAATATTATGGTTAGGTAATCATGATCCAGTTATATTCTAAAACTGTGATCAGCGTCCGAAAAACTGGCACAAACATTGGCAAAATATTTTGTGTCTTGCGACAAGCAACCTGATAAGCGAGTCCATTATGTCAATTAATAGCTAAAGACAAACAGTTTTAGTGGTAGAACTACATCTAGCAAAATCGATGATAAAGAGAACTAAAATGCAATTATATTGACCCCGGTTTATTTATTCAAGGCCACACTACACTCTCTATCCAAGGTACATAGTATTGGACTCTGGAATACATGCCAGATCCAGCTGAAATACCACACTGTCTTCCATATGACGTCACGCCAAATATAGTGGATGTGCAGTAGAATGTGTCATAGTTTTTGGTTTGAAGAGGACCGCCGCTGTCACCCTGAGGAATAAAAGTACGTATGCTATATTTCAAAGAAAAACTATTGTACAATAATTTGACTGTACTGTTGGCGCGGTGGGTGGGCAACTGGCTGCGCCGAACAACTCTTTGTCTAATCCACAGATTGTTGTTCCGGGTCTGGGTGGAATGTGTATGTGAGCTTGTAGGTATGTTTGTAAACGCACCCACGATACAGGACAAAATCTAATACCTATATGGCAATGTTTAAAAAAAAAAAATTCAAATAACGTACCGAACACGTATCTTTTGGCTCTAGTCTGTCTCCGTAACACATTTGTGTTGTGTTATTGTATCCAAACTTCAGATGTCTATGTGGTGGATAATGTTTGGAGCATTCTTTGTCATCAAATTTTGATAGTTGTACCTGTACATATTCCACAATTACCCGTTTACCGGCAATAAGCCGACAAAAACTGTTAAAGGCTAATCGTCCGCTAGCGTCGGATATCATTGTCCGACACGGCGTCCAATTTGTTAAAAATGGAACGTCAAAAATAATGTCGAAATTATTATTTTTGAAATAACTATATTTAAATAATTAGTTTTATATGTATACTAGCAGATCCAACAGACGTTGTCCTGCATATCCACTTGAATGTATAAACAAAAATTCATTCAAATTAGTTCAGCTGTTTAGGAATAACCTAAACATCGACTGCAGCGCCATTTGCCGGGCTGATTTGTGAATCTAAACCATTCCCAGATCCCCTTGAACACACACAAAAAATTTCATTAAAATCGGTTCAATCGTTTGAGAAAAGTTCAGTGACATACACACTCACAGAAGAATTATATATATAAAGATTTAAAAATATGTTACATTTTGTAAGGTATCAGCTAAGTCTTTCTTGTGCCCAAGTGCACCCCAACCAGTTGCGAATAAAATATCTTCTACTTCTCCTCTCGTGTGAAGACAGGCTGGTAACACGTGGTCATTAAATGCTATCCTAAAAAAATACAATTACCTATAAGAAAAGATTGATTTGCACAGATTAGTTAGGAACAGTGAATATTGGGTATTTGCTTCTTTCTATGTCTACTTTCTCGTGAGTCTAACAATTTCAAGTCATATTATTAAGAGCCAACTAACTTGGATGGCACGGTTGGTGCTGGACAACCGGCTGACACGTAACGTATCGCGGGTTCAATTCCCACACGGAGTCACTCTTATGTGATCCACAAATAGTTGTTCCAGATCTAGGTGTTATGTGTTTGTCAACTTTCCCCATTCCCTAAAAAACAATAAAATCCTCTCCCTTTCCCCATTTATTTAGGATTTTTGGGGATTCAAGGATTGGTCCTTGAATCCCCAACAATCCTCAAATGTCTAATCCCAAAAGGTCGGTAACGCACTTGTTACGCCTCTGGTGTTCCGGGTGTCCATGGGCGGCGCCGATTGCTTACCATCAGACGATCCGTCTGCTCGTTTACCGGCTTATCCCATAAACAAACTTGTATGTTTGTAAACGCACCCACGACACAGGAGAAAATCCTAGTGTAAGGCGAAGTTATAAAAAAAAATATATAAAAAAAGCTATCTACACATATGATTGAGATTAGTCAGGAGCACCCACCTGGAGGAGCCTTAAATGTTACTCCAGCTGTTACTGAACTATCACTATGGCCTTTTCCCTGTATCACGTGTCGCTGAGCGTGATTACCTTGACTCGAGAGTCACTTAATACTTCAGATTATATCATCATATAACCACAAAAATGATGTTACATAAATTATAGTTACTTGTAATATAATATATATATTCTGTTCTCCATGTTTTGGTAATTATTTCTTCTTTTTTTATACTTACTCAGTATCCGTCTCCAGGAGTGCGATGTCGTGGTACTTTGAAGGCGATTTGTATCCTGGGTAAGCAACGATCCTTTTCACGTTGTATATCTGCCACAATTCTGGAGGGTCCGTGCGTTTCAATATGCCAAGGGCTATGTACTTGACTTGACCCCTGTAAATATTATGGACCATTTACTATGGTTTCCTTTTTTAGGGGGAATAATGATCAGATAATTAATCCTGCCCAGGGTGAGGTGAGAGGGAGTGTCAGGCTCTTACTGTTTAATAACTATCCCGTTTCAATTCCTACTCCAGTCAGGGTCGCGGTAATTTATTGAACTTTACCCTATCATTTGGCACTATGGCTAAAGTCGTAAATGTGAATGAAAATACTTATACCATTGAAGATGATGAGATTATAAGATGGGACATAAATGCATAGGTAAAGATGGGATTGCTAGTTACAACTTGAATGATATAGTTTTTAAGCATACTGGAGCAATATTATTTGGTAAAAGAAGTCTGATAATGAATAATTACTTACAGGGTAGGACTTCCTAAGCAATGACCAGCAGTGAGAATAAACCTTTCACTGATGACAGAGCCTCCACAAAGCCACTCAGCAGATTTAACATTAGGACCGTATCCCAACAGAGCCTAGTGCAAAAAAATAATTAATGACAATTAATGTCAACAAACAAGTTAATCAATCAACAGATACCAACAAAATCCTACTTAATGTTATAAATGCGAAAGTTTATCTGTTTGTTACTCCTTTGCGTTAAATAGGCTGTGGGATCAAGATGAAAATTGGAATAGGGGTAGGTTATGGTCTGGAATGTCTCATAGGGAACGTGGGCGAAGCCACTGGCAGCAGCTAGTATTGGTGTAAAACTCATCCATCGAGCTATACGAAACTAATTTATCATAGTCTCTCTTTGTATGATTATTCCGCACATAAGACGGCCTCTTTATACTTGTTTTTGTGTAGTTGATGTGTTCATCATGAGCCCGTATTCGTTCACTGCTGGATATAGGTCTCTCCAATGGCACGCTACTGAGCTCGGTCTTCAGCTCTTCTCATCCAACCACTGCCACCTACCTTGCGAATGTCGTCACTCCACCTAGCTGGACCTAGGCGCCCTTACATGGCGTTTGCCTAGACGCGGTCTCCACTTTAGAACACGTTTACCCCAACGGTTATCGGCTCTTCGACAAATGTGACCAGCCCACTGCCACTTCAGCTTACTGATCCTTTGGGCTATGTCGATAACTTTATTAATGATGTGTTCGCAATAATAAAAATTATATCTCACCATATGTGGAAATTCATCTCTTAATGAATCACTGCCTCCAGATGTAGTGTTAGTTTTTTCTTCTTCAATGACTTTATTGCAATTTGTATCAGGTATATAAATTCTGCTCAGTTCAACACGACGAAATAATTTACAAGGGTAGTTGAGCTTGTCTATAAATTCCATACATTCTGGAATATGATAGATAGAAAATAATTTTCAGTTCAATTTTAAACTTTTATTTTTCTTACATTTGATACTTACTGTCTTGAGCTTTTTGTCCGGTTTGGTGAATTATGCCAAAACTAGGGCTTATAATCATTTTTCTGTAAATAATTAGACTTTGCATTTGTCATTAGGTATTTTGAACTTAAACGCTAAGATGTTTAACCTTACTCATACGACCAAGGTCGTCAAAAAAAGGTGGATACTGTCTCTTGGAATAACGACTGTGGTACTTGACTACTATAGACTTACATGCAGAACATAAACACATTGACACGAAGGACATTTGCCATTTTCTTAGGTCTAATAACGTGATAACCCGTTGCATCTTCTACCGGATACATTTTGGAGAGTGTGCGGGGGAACTGCATAACTTGATTCCCCCTAGTCCTTTCCATCATCGTACCACAAGACGATCGGCGAAGCGTCACCGATTCAAGGTAGATGTCCCACCCACACGCATGAAGCGCTTCGCATCAAGCTTCCTTGTGCGTACTGCTAAGGAGTGGAATTCTTTGCCAGAGTCTGTATTTCCTGAAAGGTATCTTAAAAGCCCGAGTGAATAGGTTGCTTATGGGTCGACGTGCTCCATCGTAGGCCACATCATCGCTTACCACCAGGCGAGATAGTGGTCAAACGTCAGCCCCATCTAATATAAAAAAACATACACAACACACACATAAAAATACACTGCCATGTTGGTGCTTCAATTATTTCTAAGTTAATAAATATCTGCCTTTTTCTAAACGTCTCTGCACACGGCGAAACAAAATGTAACCGTTTTTCACACCAATTTTTGTGACTCTAAGTGGCCCTATTTTACCGAAGTAAGGCTCTTAACACTTATAACAGAATAAGTAATGAATACTATTTTATTGCAGGATTACCTTGTGTCATTGACAAGCGAACAGTCTGTACAACAAATAATTGGCTCTTTCCCCTTAAAATCACATATCTGTAATAAAAAATAGAAAGTTGTAAAATTTTATATTTATTTATTTAATGCTAACAACTACCATTACATACTAATCCAATACGACAGTGGGGCCATCAGTCTTACAAATACTTAAAATATATTTTAGTATTTACTTATTATCTAATTATATTAAATTTTAATTTATGACTCATACCACAATTCGGATGAAAACAATAAAGTTCCCCATTAAAATATAACTGTTTAAGTTAAATATTTAAAACTACAAGTAACTATGATACTATTAATTCAAATACAGTGTTCTAAAGTCCAAATTAAGACTAATGTCTTAATTTGGACTTTTCTTCAAACGTTGGCCTACACTAGGATTTTCTTCTGTGTCAGATTAACATACAATTTCACATATACAGTACATGACACCCAGACCCAAAACAACAATTTGTAGGTCACACAAAGAGTTGTTGAGTGTGGAAATCTAGCTTACAGACCACTATACAGTTGCCCAGCCACCGCACTATCTACCATGATTATTTAAATTCTAAATGGGTAACAAAATTAGACTAATCAATTCAGGTCAAAATCTTAAAGGTCTTATTTTATCATCATCATCATCATATCAGCTACAAGACGTTTACTGCTGAACATGGCCCTCAATGACCTCCAGATGCCCATCTGGTTAAAGGCGACCAAAAGATCTTACTTACCGGAGCATAATCTTTGTTCTTAAAGTCAATAAAACTGCTTAAACATCTGTACATGCGTACACACTCTCCCGGGATTCCATTCCACGTGCATTTAGACCCTGTTAACATTAAAGAGGATTTCGAATTTAAGGGGAATGGGCCATTTCATAGAATGCCTATTTTATTCATAAAAATCCTGTTCTATTACACAGCAAAATAATTAACACTAACATACTAGATTATCTGAAGCAGAATATAAGCAATAAAATTACATACTTTCCTCATCAGCTAGTAGGTTTATTATTGAAATAAATATATATATTAAACAATTTGTTACATACTATCAGATTGAACAGTTCAGTAACTATCATGCTAACCAAAAAAAATATCTGTAGGTACTAATATATAAAGCTGAAGAGTATGTTCGTTTGAACGCACTAATTTCCAGAATTACTGGATCGAATTAAATAATACTTTTTGTGTTGAATAGCCACGATTGATTACGCTACTATCAATAGGAGATGAGCAACTGAAACGGCGCAAAATAGTTAGTAAGAGATAAAAACGTACCTTCATTTAAATTTAACGAACAGTCCGTCACATAAACACTATATAAAAATAAAATAAAAATCTTAACGAACATTTTGTAAAACAAATACTGGTTAGACAGGACCAACGCACTCGGAATTTGATTCGGAACTAAATGGGTTAGGCATTTAACAGGGTAATCATTTGCGGAAGGATTCATCATCTTCAAAAGGTCAATAACAGGAAAACGATATCAATAGTGACGTCATAAGATGACGTATAAATCAAGTTCACGGTTCTTTTTAAAAGCATTGAACCCGCATTATTTAATTATTATGAACTGAGTCATCTCTGTTTTGAAGAATGTAATTAAAATACATAATTGTTATTCCCTAAAAAAGTTGTTGTGCGTTTAAAATCCCTTTTTTTATGACAAAGGGGAAACCTTTTAAAGGTGCCTAGCTTTTTGGGGAGAAAGACTATGGAGTGTGGTATTCGTACTTCACTAAAACCAACCCGGTGGCCACCCTCAGCACCTGTAAGGTGCACCGGGTTCTCTGAAGAGACCTGCGCCGGAGCCCCCATGGTGCAACGCCTATTACAGCACGTCCCTAGGCAGACGTACGTGTCCCTTGATCATCGCTTTGCACGGCAGCACGTGACCACGGTGCTACCTTCTTTCCTGAGGCCACTGGATGGGCACCTAGAGTCCTCCTCTATGCACCCGTGCATTTAAAATATCTACGGAACGTTTTGTCACCTACAATTAGTTTTTTTCTTGCAATGAAGGGGCAAGGTGTGTCTGTAAAGAAACTTAAAATGAGTAACACACAGCACTTTTTTTTTCCAACATAATTTTTTATGATTTTAATAATTATATTTACTTTAACTTTAATTGCACCAAATGATAAGTGAATGTAAATTTAAGGCAGAATTAATACCATTACCTATATGGCACTGATTTTCTGTCAACAAATAGTTTATTTATTGTATAATTAATTTAAAAGCGAACTTACAGAGGAAATGTCATTAATTCAACTAAACTAGTTCGAAATCTTACAATCCAAGTTCGAACTGAATCCATTCACAGAGTTTACGAAAGCCTGCATATGTGCAATTTAATTAAAAGTTTCAGCTTTAGTAGAAATCTGCACCCATGTAATATGTTGGCTGTAAGTTTAATTAACTAATTAACTAATATTATTTAGTTTTAAAGGCGTAATTGTGTTAATTCAAAAACATTATGTAGCCACTTTTAAAGATTCGTTTTTATAAAATTTGTACTACTGTATCATAACTATCTTTCACGAGTTTTGTAAACCAAGCTAGTAAGAAAGAAAAAATGTTTATTTGCACACCGTCACAAAGTACAATAAAACCAAAAAAAAAATAAATTAAAACAGTGAAGACGGCCACACGACCACACACACACAAAAAGGCCAGAGCTTAAGGTATTATATCAAAAGATAAAAAGTTTTTTGTATTAATTTGAACTGCACAGTTAGCGTGGTGGCTGGGCAACTGGCTACCGCGAAACGTGTAACGGGTTCGATTCATGCACGGAACAACTCTTCCACAAATGACTGCATGGTTGTTGCGGTGGCTGGGCAACTGGCTGCCGTGCAACGTGTCGCGGGTTCGATTCCCGCACGGGACAACACTTTGTGTGATCCACAAATTGTTGTTTCGGGTCTGGGTGTTATTGTGTATGTGAACTTGTATGTTTGTAAACGCACCCACGACACAGGAGAAAATCCTAGTGTGGGGCAACGTTTTTTTAAAAAAAAATTGTTGTTCTGGGTCTGGGTATCATGTGAGGAGAAGTTGCATGTTTGTAAACGCACCCACAGAAGATAATCCTAGTGAGAAGCTAATTTAAAAAAAAAAGAATGAACATACCTAGTATTCAAAGATATCTTTCACATAATAATTTATTAGGTACACAGTTAAGAAACTCTAAAGAAAAACTTGACAGTCCCTCAGAGATCCTAAAATAGTAAAAGACGAGGGAGTTACACACGATACCTTTATCTTAACATTCAGATAAACTGCCTACTTTACATTCGAAAGCTTACACGGTTCGTTTCATAAACTGTATTTAGTGACGTCATTCACGATTCAGTCATAGAAGTTTTCTCTTGCGTAAGCCATCATGCGCCGCGTGTCGTGCAACAGGGTAGAAGCAAGTATCTTGAATTATTCATAGCGACGTACTGACATGTTGTTTTATGTTCCTAGTCCGACAATGTGGCTGTCCCGCTGGTCTGTCAACGTGTGGAAGTTATACATGATTTACCGAACTGGAAATCGGGTGAATTCTAATGGGTTGCCCGGTATAGGGTAGTTGCTAGGGAATGAAAATTAAAATCTAATTAGTTCGTCAGTTAGATAATGAAAAAATATTGGACAAGTATTTTTTTATTAAGTTACAATACTTAAATAAAATGGAGTTAAGTTTAGGAGTGGGAGGTCGTTACGTCACAAAGTGCTACAAAATGTAGCGCATTGTGACATTACACGATATTTCAGATTAATATATCGTCGAAAGTATTTAATTATGTGAGAAAAGAAAAAATACGTGTCTAATGTTTTAAAGTAACCTACCAAACGGACATCAAAATAAAATTCAGACAATTTGGGTATTACAAATTGGTGTATCTTGTCTGAGATTCTGAATAATGTAGTGTATCCAGGAGTTATTCAACAATACAAAGAACATAATTATTAATTATAATAACTATCGTGAGACATACTAAATTAATTAAAAATTGCGGGTTACGCACGTGAAAATACTAAGAAAATACTAGTTTCGAATCACAGAGGAGTTCTTCATCATGAGCAGCGTACATGGGCTGGAGGCTGAGTCACCCTCGTCCGTAGGAGAGCACCCCAAAATCAATATCCCTACACGTGGCCTCTGGGTGGTGCTAACCAGGTGACACTTTGGTGGTAGGCTTCGGCCGCCGGCTTTATGACCACCCATCGAGCAAAAGCGTGTCGCCAAGCGGCCCAGCCGTGTTCCGCCACGATGCTCGGTGACGCCGTATGAGAGGATGGGTCGAGATGGTTGTTCCACTGTAGGATAGCCGGTCTGGCGCGCGCTGGTGTAGCTACACCGGGTGTCCAGTCGCGGAGGGTAGCGGGATCCGAGGCACGGTGCACCGCTTGCCGACCGCAGATAGTTGGGGGCCCAACTAGCGTGCTAGCCACACGTGAAAGGCTGCCCCGCCATCTAGCGAAAAATCCCATGGATACGCCATCGTGCCGGTTGGCGACCGGAGGAGAGGGCCCGATGGATATTCGTGGGGGGGCTCGGGCGTCCCCGCAGTCTCCAGACTGGCCTCCCAATGGTGTGGTTAACTACGGTGCGCGTCGTGGGGTCGCCTGCGTGGGGGACCATTTCACTGCCATCCTCTCAGCAACCTTCCACTCTACATTATGACACTGAGAAATAAGAAAAGGGTTCAACAGCGGCTGCACTCCCTCTCCTTCATAGTGCACCTCTCAAATATTCGAGGTTTGCACTCTAATGTCAATGCGGTCCATCACCACCTCGAGACCGAGAACCCTACACTCTTGTTTCTCTCGGAGACCCAGATCAGGTGCCCGTCGGACGTATCCTACCTGAACTACCCTGGTTTTTCCCTGGAGCACAATTTTGTTCCGCATGCAGGTGTATGCGTATACGTCCGAGACGGCATCTGTTACCGGCGTCTCCGAAACCTTGAAGACCCAAGCTTTTCTGCTCTCTGGATACTGGTGGACATAGGCATGGAGAAAATTCTTTATGCCTGTGTCTATCGGTCGCACAGCGGAGATTTGGAGGCGACCAGATTAGCGCAATACCTCGGCGCGAAGCGGCGGATGCGGCTCGTCAGGCGTACCCTTCGGCCCAGTTGGTGTTACTGGGGACTTTAACGCTCATCATCAGGAGTGGTTATTCCCATACCAGTGCACCGACCATGCTGGAAGAGAAATGCGTAAGCTTGCGCTTTCGCTTGGCCTGACCCAGCTGGTCCAGGAAGCCACAAGGGTGCCCGATGTCGATACGCACACTGCCAATTGCTTAGACCTTCTGCTGACAACTGATCCAGACCGCTACTCGGTGACAGTCTCATCACCTCTAGGTAGCTCTGACCACTGTCTGGTGAAATCTGTATCGACACACTCCCCACCAGATCCGAGTCCCAGAGGACCTCGGCGGATGTGGCGATACAAGTCAGCGGACTGGATGGGATGCGATCTTTTTTCGCTTCTACTTGGCGGCCTGTCTGTCTCTTCTGATGACCCGTCAGCTTGTGCGAAGCCGTAACGGGGGTGCTGCGCCAGGGCATGGAATACTACATTCCATTCTCGGACGTGGCATCCTCTGGTGGGACCCGTCCTTGGTTCGATGCCGACTGCGGACGTGCCGAAGCGCAAAAGCAGATGGCATACTTGGCATGGGCGGATGCCAGGCGCCGTGGGGCTGATGACATTCATCAAAAGAAGAGAGCCTTTAATCGGGCTGCCAAGTCATGCAAAAAGGCATTACGGATGGCTCGATT